CTATTCTTTGTTACACTGAAGACAAGTGGACACTATCGGCCCGCAGAAGTCCACCGCAGTACTTCTCCCATAGCTGTCCCCGCGCCGCAACTGCGCGAATACTTGTCCTTCTCAGTGGTCATAACAATATAAATGGCAAATTACTTATGATTTCAAAATAAGGGATACTATTGGGTGTGTATTATATTGGATTTCGAGTGTAACTTATTTAATCAAACATTTATTATCAATTATAAATTTATAACTTACATTACTTATAACTAAATATTTATTAATTTACTAATTATTAATTAAATTAAGTTTAATTTATCATTTAATTTCAATTCATTCTTAACAGAAGGCAGAGATTTCTGCATATTTTTAAAAAACTTATGAATTAACGGTAGAAATGAGACTAAAACACCACTAATTATTGCCATTACAGAAGTGATCCAAAAGCCTGTCGTATATCCGGTCTTCTTATTAAAAGTTTTTCCTAAAATTGTCATTTAATTAAGTTTAAAATATTAAACAATTATTGCTAATAATTTGTTGCCTATAAGTGGGGGTCCGATAAAGGATACGATACCGAAGATGAGATTCACGACTCCCAACACATTTGTCACTTTCTCCATACCAAACAGATCCACAATTACTACAGACATTAGTGTAATAAAAGCGCCTAATATTTGTCACAAGAAGTTTTAAACAATTAAATACAAGATATAAATGGAGACAATTTTAAATTTCTTGTCCAAACCTTTAGCCATACCAAACACAATGATACCAAAGACCATAATCTTATAATTATCAATACTAAAGGCCGCGATCAGACCTATGGCTATGCCGTACGTTATTATCGAGAGGCCGTAGAGTAGTATACGATTTAGCGATTGAAAGTCAGCGATATATCCGAAGAATACGCGACCGAAAGCATTACAGAAACCGAATATCACCATCAGATTGACGGCGTCAGCGCCGGTACCCATACCTGTCTTCACGACGTGGTCTTTGAGGAAAATGATGGGAACGTAAAATACGGTGCCGTTAAGAAAGCTGGCAAAACCGTAGTACAGAAACACCATATCCTTTAGTATATTAAAATTGAAGGTCTCTTTGAGGGCTGACTTGAGATCACTCTTCTCTTCCATATAATCTACTTTACGAAAGAAAGCCGAAAATGCGATACAAGTAAACATTAAACCCGATAACAAAAGCATAGCTCCTTTCCAACCGTAGGTCACAATCAGGTGCTCCGATAGTAATGCGAACACAGATATCCCTAAACCTGAACCGCAAACACCAATTCCTGTGGCGAGTGCCAAATGATCGTCAAACCAATACGTGATTATCATTACTTGTGGTAAGTATAAGAGGCCCAGACCTGTGCCTAGTGTCGGGCCATATCAGCGATACATACAACAAATTATTACTTGTATTTCTATTTGTAAACGAAAGTGGACACTTAATTACCGACAATAAAACCAAGTGTTACACAATGACTGTAAATGGTATCCAATACAATGCTGGATAACATTCCGGTAACTGTAATAATCGCACCAATCATTGCAATTTTACGGCACCCGAAGGTAGCGGTCAAACCACTGGCCACCGGACCTATACATCGGGCGAATTGAATATAAACTCATAAACATTTCAAAAATATCCCGAATTGAAGATGTGGAGGAATACCCGAGCAATACATCATTCCAGTCATAATGGAGTCAAAGAGTGAAGTAACGGATTCGGACTCTTTGTATTCAACGAGAAATTGTGCGTAAAATAGACCCGTAGTGTAGGCATAACCGTCGCCAATAAAACTAATCATAAACGATGCAAACACTATAATCCAACCAAAGCCACCATCAGGTGCTTTATGGTATGGATTCTGTAGTGAAACAGCCATTTGGTTACGAAAGGATATTTAAAATTTTGAATGTGTATTTAATTTTATAAATTTAAATTATACGAGATTTGCGCATGATATTAAATTAATTGTTAATAATTAGTTGATATTTGTAATAACTATCTTAACAATTTGGAAATTTTATTAGTGTTTTATTTTAAAAATATTTCAATATATTTGTGTGAATTAATCAACGATAGCAAAGACTATTACATTCGGTCTCTGAATAGAAATTGTTTTCTGTGTTAACCAATGGTTTATAGTCGACAACTTCGCAGAAAGTGTAGGGTTGGCATCGATTCAGGCGTTTATTATAATACCAGTGAACATGAGGTGTGGTGTGAGAGCCGCAGAAACTATAGGACTTCTGGCGCTTACATCTCGACGGATCTTTCATTTCAAATTGACTGAAACTCTGCACTTGAAGTGAGTTTCTCTGCTGATAGTGAACCGAAATGGTCTTCTTTAGGCGCTTCAAAAGCATTTGATTTAATTTATCAGTCATTGTCTTCGATGTCTTGATGTGCTTTTTTCTGATACAATTACACAATAAAAATGAGTTTAGATTTGTAAAGATTTTATTTAAAAAATTTTATATTATATACGATTACTTATGGCATAGATATTCGCATTGAAGTTCAGAAGTGAATCTATTTTCCAATGAAGTCCTTTTGATGTCAATTTCCTCGGCGTTAAGGCAGTACTTAAATGGCATGCATTTGTCTTTCCTGAGATCGTAGTACCATTGGGTGCCGACCACTGTCTTCGCGCCGCAAAAAGCATATGGTTTACGTTGTTTGCAATTTGACGCATACTTTCATTATAGCCGTATTAATGTAAATAATTTATTGATTATTATTGCATACAATTAATTTTAATTTTGTTATAAATTTACGTTTGCTTTGTTTCCATGAATTTCACATAATATGACAATCAATAGTGGAAGAAATTTTAGGCAAAATGTGTTGCCAAACATTTTGCTGTTATGTAAATGGATTTTTTTTGTTTAAATGGGAATTATTTGTTTTTAATTTAGTTTAGAAAACATATGGTTTTAGTATTAAACAGCTATTATTTGCAAATTATGCACGTCTTTAGACGCATAACGCGTTGGTGTAAAATATTTATACAGCAATAAAGTAGGAATATAAAATTTACATTTTTAAACGCAGTCAGACTAGCGACTGACATCGTAAGTTTATACTAAAAACTTAATTTAAAATCTATTAAACTAATTCTATGGGCTAATGTTATGGGAGTAATGTTAAAACTCCAAAAATGTACAAAATATATAAGTATTTTTAAACATTGATCATTTTTACAACTACTTGTCACAAATTTTACTTGTTTTATAACGAAACAATGCAAATTATGAGAATACTGATTCAATTAATATTGGTAAAAGAACTTTTATAATAACAATAAAAATGTTCAAAATTTTTGAAACCTATGTTTCCCTAAATGCAGCTAAAACTTTAGGTAAGTTTTATGGCTCTGCTTATAAACTTTATTTGAATCAAAATGATCATTCTATAAGAATTTGATATAAATAAATAACAATTGTATGCATTTTAAATTGTACAAGGGCAAGTGATATTTATTTGATTTGAATGACATAATCATTATAAATGTATAGTTAAGCACTACTTTATAACCTTTTATTATCAGATATTTTTTGATTACATTATCAAAAAGAGCTCACAATTTGTTGGAATCACTTCTAATCTCAACCCATATTAAACACTGACTGGAATTTTGCCAACAGTTGTGTCACTATTTTGTCAAAAATAGATCTCTGTTCTCAAGTCTACAATCAGCAAAAGGTTTTTAACAATATTTTTATAATAACTGTTAAATATATACAGTTATAGCGAAAGTCAAACAGGTTTTCGAGTGAATTAATAAACATAACATCATTCTTACAAAAAATTAGCTTTTTGTAACAAAAACCATGTATTCTTCAATGACTCCAAGTTTCATATATCCATATTTAGTTTTACTATTAAATTGTTTGTTATTTAAATCGTTGAGAAAAATTGTGTTCAAATTAACACCAAATTCAATCAGATCTCTCACATCTGAATTCATATCCACATTAGAGTTGTGCAGTGATTGCGCGGAATTGGGTTAGCCTTCGATATTAATGTCAATTTGCATTCATTTGCGCTCATATTTAGTCTATTATTAATATTTTCTTAACATTATATGTGATTGTGTTTTACAGGAGTTGTTTGGGAAATACATGGAAATATTGGTCTCGGAGTGACACTATTCTTACTGTGCATTTGGTTTGCCGATGTGTTTGAAGACGCCGAGGCCTGTCCTTGCGGTCCCGTTGAGGACTGTTTACTTAAGGGACAGTCATTCACATCAAAGCATATATTTCAAAAACTTTTGGGTCAATTGTTAGCCGCTATCGTCACCGATAAGTTAGTAATAATAACTTATTTATTTATTGCCTTTAATTGTTGCTAAAATTTATAATGAATATTTAAATAGATATACAAAATGCATTTGGTGTTGGCATCTAATGGCCCAACACTCACACCTTCATGTGTCCAGATGTGAGGCCGCACTTCAGGTGCCGATTCTGTACGGAATGGCTATCGAAGGATTTATTACATTTGTTAGCCGTTTAATAGCGTTAGAGTCGTCTAATTGGAGTCAAAAAGTGGCAGTTTATGCCAATTCTGTAACCAGTGTTTCGCTCGTCTTATTCGGTAATTCTTGGGCAAAATTTTTACAACCAAAACAAAGACGTCTCAAATTCGGATATCATTATATTAACAAATTGTTTCCTCACATGTATAGCCCTGAACACAACGGGAGGTTTTTTCAACCCAATTCTGGCCTCAGCCCTAACACTTAATTGTAAAGGAAATACACTTCTCGAGCACTTCTCGGTCTATTGGTTGGGTTCACTAATTGGTGGACTAATTGCCAGATCTTTGTATATATTTATATTAAGACGTGAATCAAAAGCGAAACTTCATTAAAGTTTCCAAATATTAGAAAATGCCAACAAAAATACAATATGAAAATCTAATACAATGTCTAGAAATTTTCTGTGATTTATTATCTCTCATACCTTTGCGAAAATTATAATTGTTAAAAATCTAGCAAATATTAACCCTATGTGATCAGTTATATTAAAAATAAAATAACTTATATAAAGTAACAAGTAGGATTTATTATCTATTGATATAATAATAAATTACTGCAATATTATTATAAATTACATTTCTATAATTAGTTAAAGTTTACATTGTTTAGAATTGTATATATTCAGTAAACATGTTAATTTTGAACAGTTAATTAATGTTAAATTAACAAATACATATTATAACGCTTAATTCAAATAGTTAAAACTAGACATAAATTATACAACAATAATTTCATGCATTTATATAAAGAATATTCAATAAACTCACAGAACTGTTATATTAAACAATATTCTGTGATTGCATTTAAATTATTACCTTATTTTCTTATGTGAAAATAAATGACAGCAAAATATGAGATAACAGTGAGAACTATACCCAATAGTATACCACCGAAGAATGTTAACGAAGCGAATCCACACGTTTCTATCACTGGATGCTCGTAATGATCGCCTGAACTTAAAGTACTGGTCAATGGATTTGATGCAACTTTAAATATACAATAGTTTAAAAAATGCAACATTTTAAAATCGTTTATAATACAAACCAAACAAGTTGTGCAAATTAACTATGATTAAAATAACAGTAAACAGCATTTTATCCATAATGAGTATTAAATTTGAGAGAAATATTTACAAATATAACTATTGTTACAATTATTAAATGCTAATTATTTGCTTGTATGACGACAAATCACTGTTAAATTTAATTTCATGTTAAGTTTAGCTTATGTTTTATAAAACAACATTATCTATGAAAATACAAACTATTCTTAACAATCAATGAATGTTTAGTTAATGAAGAAAAAACGCTTATAAAATCAAAAATAATGTAAAGATGTCATAGAAATGTTGAGATTAAACCCACTTTTAATAGACTATAGACAATGATTTGTTGATAAGAAGTACACTCAATAGCAATTTGCAACAATTATCATTTAAAACCAATTATCAATACAACGTGGGGTTAGTTATATAATTATTATAGATAGTTCATATTAATCAAATAGAAAAAATATGACAACAAAATTAATACAACATTATTTTAATATATAACTTAAGATACAAAGATCTTTAGGTACAAAGAACTAATGAAATGCTAACAAAATTGATTAGTATATTATATTCTGATTTTAATTTTAAATTTAATTTTAAAATTCTTACATTTTAAATATCAAACGAACGGATGATTGATATTGAATTCTGCATTTTATAATTGTTTATATCAAACAATTTTGAGTTTTCAAAACCGAGAAATTACTCTCAAAAGCAGTTAATTGTATATTTGTTATAATTTTAAGTCAACTATGCTTAAACCTAGACCTAGTTTATTTAAAACCCAAATATTAAACAAGGCAACATTGAGATATTAGTAAAATCACCATAATATGTTAATTATTTTACAATGATCAATTCAATTTAATTTCTGTGGAGATTCCTTAAGTGAATGCATAGAAAATAATTATCCTGAAATGATCATGATACTTTTTTTTAATAATTAATAATTATTAATTATCTTGTTCAATGTTCAAATTAAATGTATTAAACAATCTATTAGATTTAATATTCATTGACTAACATTAAGTAACATGCTCATCAATGACTCATCATGCTCTATTATCAGAAAAGCTTTTTCGAGCCCAGAATTGAGGCAATAGTTGACTCTTGAATAAAATCGAATAAATGGTAACGTTGTTTATGTGTGACCTATGAATACAATACATGTTTATTCGTATTGTTTTGGTTGAGAAGAAGTGAAGAGAAAGACAACAATTAAATCGCTTATTGAAGACGTGTTGTGGTTGTGAGAGACCGACGATGAGCTCATCTCACGGCCGCTCCAATGGCCAGCCCTTGTCTTTACCCCCGCGTTGGCTGAAGTGTCCGCGAAAGGGAGATCTCATCGCTGGTAAGCGCACTCTTCGGCCATCGATGGTCTCATTCGTCACTGAATATTAATTATCACTCAATTGTCAGACAAATTCATACCATTTAAGACACCATTGGATGACAAATACAAGTCACAGATACCGGCGACCGATTTATTCACGCCTCGAATGCTTATATCCCTCATCTCTAACTACAAAGTGAGTTATCGCTGTATCTGATCCGCTAATTGTCTCTTCACGTGTGTTATTGTCGTATTTTTAGGTCAAATTAGGTCTTTGGATAGACTTGACATTTACGGGACGTTTCTATGATAAGGCACTCGTCGAGCAAACGGACGTCAATTACTGCAAATTCCAGTGTAAAGGGTATGCAAACTGTGTTCAAAACACATTATTCTCGTTTTCAACATTAATTGTATATTTGATTCATTAAATAATATTACAATTAATTGTCAATCTGTAAACAAATGCATTGACCGAGAATTGACCCTTAAATTGACATTTAAGTTATTAGTGAATATTTAAGGGAAAACATAAGTAACAGAACCATAAATTGCCATTAAATATAATTTAAAACTAAACGTCTACACAATGTATAGCATTGTAATGGTTTGTGGGATTGAATATTAGTTGACGAATCAAATGCACTGTTGATTGACAATTAATGATTGAAACGAGAATAATGTGCTATAGATTTGTTTGTCTTAATTACTGACACTATTATATGTGTTGTACAGACACGACGAGTGTCCGACCGAAGAACAGACGCAACTGTTTGTCAACTGTTGCTATAACTATATCGCAAAGAATCCGTTGCACGTGATTGGCGTCCACTGCACCCACGGCTTCAATCGCACGGGTTTTCTAATCAGCGCTTTTCTCATTGAGAAACACGACTGGAGTGTTGAGGCGGCCGTCAGTGCGTTCGCCAGAGCGCGACCGCCCGGCATATACAAGGAGTCATATCTGCGCGAACTGTTCCGCCGGTACGGCGATGTGGAGGACACACCGCCCGCTCCACCGCTGCCCGACTGGTGCTCCGAATCGGACGACACCGACGACGACGGGAACGCCATTAATAAACACAATAACAATAATAACGCAAACAATTCTCAATCAAATAATTACAAGAATCAAAGGAAGACATTTATGGAGGGCGTGGAAGGCGTCACTATATTGGCCGACATGAATATCGCGCGCGCTATTCAGCAAACGTGTCAACACTTGTGCCACTTTAAAAGGGGAGGGTTTCCCGGCTCTCAGCCGGTGTCGATGGATATGCATAATCTGGGTTTACTGTCCACTCGTGAATATATGGTGAGCTGGAAAGCCGACGGAACCCGTTATATGCTTTACATTAAGGACGAGAAGGAAAGCTATTTCATCGATCGCGACAACACTCTCTTCAAGATCTCTGGCGTCAAGTTCTTTAAGCGCAAGGAATTTCCCAACCATTTGGTGAACACACTATTGGATGGAGAGATGATTGTGGATGAAGTGAAGGGCCAGAAGATCGCCCGATATCTCATATACGATATCATCTCATTCGAGGGCCAAGAAGTGGGCGGAACCGACTTCAGGCGTCGTATGCTGTGTATCGAGAAGGAAGTGATTGGTCCGCGCGAGAGGGCAAAGGTTGAGGGTGTGATCGATAGGACTAAAGAGCCGTTTGGTGTTCGTAAAAAGGATTTCTGGGAACTTCGCGACACGTATAAGATATTCGAAGAGAAATTCACACGGAATCTGAGCCACGAGATCGATGGCCTCATCTTCCAACCCGTGCCCGACTCATACATTCCCGGACAATGCGATCTAACACTCAAATGGAAACCTCCGTCACTTAATTCGGTGGACTTCCGACTGAAGATCATTTTGGACGACAGGCCGGGAATGTTGAGGAAACTGATGGGAAACCTATACGTGGGAGGACTCGACCTCCCGTTCGCTACCATGAAAGTGACGAAAGACCTGAAACAATATGACAATAAGATTGTTGAATGTAATTTCGATGTCGCGATCCAACAGTGGGTATTCATGAGAGAGCGAACCGACAAGTCTTTCCCCAATAGTCACCGAACGGCGACTTCCGTGTGTCAGTCGATGTTAAGGCCGATCACTAAAGAAGTATTATTTGATTACATCGATCGCAACGCCGTTAGAGGCTCTAAGCGTGACTTTAACGACCACTCGGGGAATAGTGGTAATAGTGCCGAACGGACACTAATGCCGCCACCGATGAAAGCGCCCAGAAAATGACCATAACGTGTAATTTATTAATTTAAGCCAAAATTAGTTTATAATTTGTAAACATTGATTATAAATTAATTTGCGATTTAGTATAATTTAATAAAACATATGATTTTCATTTTTTATTTTTAAAAATATATTCTCTTTATTCTTAGAGTGTATTGAATTTCACTAATTTTTATGCGATTTTAAAAGTGGCTTTAAATCGCCGACCATTTTATAATAGTGTATATAAATTATCTTATATTGAATGTCAAAATGTTTTCAATGCCGTACAATAGGGAGGGGAGGGGTAGTGCCGAAAGTGTATCCACTGGTGTTGTCGACACCACATTCGCTGAGGTTTTATCTCTTATATGTGTTCACACTTTTGATATTTGAAGAGAAAGTCTATTTCGAAGGCCAATAAGTGAAGGAATTTCAGTCCATTTCAACTGAAATCCATTTGGCGTTTGAGACCAGGATTTAAAGTATTGGGTTTAAGCGTTGGGTTAAGTGTTGGGTTTAGTGTTGGGTTTAGTGTACGGGGAATTCAATGATCACCCAAATTAATGGCTCATAACTAAAGCATTGATTCTTAGGTGACAAAAAAAGTGTTTTAGGTACTTAAAAAGTTACTTAAAAATAGCTGAAAAGGTGATAAAAAGGTGGTAAAAAGTTAAGAAAAAGTTATTTATTTTACATCAAAATAGTACATTACAAAGGTTAGTTATATGAATTTTTGAATTGAATTATATCACAAAATACTTTAATTCAATAAGTAGCATAAAACACAATAAGCAGCATAATTGAATGCCAATTGATTTGTAACATTAATATCCACAAACAATTTTTTCAAATACTCTATAAAACCCGATTCTTCGCTATCAAATTAATGAATAATTTTTGAAAATCGATCAAAATATCCATTAATGACGTGTAAAATTTGCAAAATAGGTGAAAAGTTACTAAAAAGTTACTAAAGGTGACAACGTCCCAAAAGGTGCTAAAAAGGTGAAATAAAATTCTCTTAAAATACCCCCAGAGGGATATATCGTGTGCCCCCAAACTTTCAGGAGATTCTCCGCTTTCGGGAGAAAAAGTTATTTAACTTCAAATCAATGCTTTACTCATAACTTACATTTTCTATAATATCCACTAATTTAGCATTTATTCTGAATTTGATTTCTGTTATAATATCTTATTTTAAAATTAATTCTTTGTTTCGTTTTAAAATTAATTCTAAGTTTTGAAAAATATTATATAAATATAATTATAATGTGATATCTTATGAATCATTTCCTTCAGACACTTGTAATGACTATAAATATCAAATGATTAAAGAATTAATGTTTTTCTGATATATTTATGCGAATATTTTTCCTCACTTTGAAATTTCAGTTGAAATTTGTTTGAATAATAAGTGAAGGGTTTTGAGAATCGGAGAGAGAGAGAGAGAGAGAGAGAGACTACTTGTAGTGACCATTAAATTGATAAAAGCGGACATTCCTTTGTGAAGCTTTAATGCCATAAAAGCAATACAGTTTGGGATAGGGTTTGGGATTAGGGATAGTATTCCTCTGCCATTACTACACAATACTAGAGAAAGTAGAGAAAGAGTGAGAGATATTTTTAGACCAAATACTGTTGTGTTTATCGAGAAATAAGTTATGTTTAGTATATTTGCAATTCGTGTACACATTGTTTATTCGTTGACCCTTTTCTCCCCATCCGAGTGACCAATAGAACCATTACTACAGTACAGGCACTCAATACACAGCCCATACACTCTCATACTCTCTCATACCCTCTCTCTATGACAATATATAACTGACCAATACATCCAAATTTGTCTTTAAAACTATGCCATCATCTCATATAAGACGGCATTTCGTTTAAGTATTCAAAGTATTCACTGTTTCTCTCCAACAACTCATCAATTTTCTTGATTCAATTTCATTGTATTTTATATTTGTATTTCATTATCAATTCATATGTTATTACAATCACATGTCGTCTAAATTTAATTCATGTTTCTTCGGACAAATCGGTGATCAGTCTTCTAATGGTCTAAACTTTCTTCTCAATTCAAAGGTAAGCTTTTTTGCGATAAAAACTTTTGTGTTTCGATCCCTAATACGAAAGGAATGTGTATTACAACCGATTCTACCTTTTTATGAGAGTTAGTGCCAGAGAGAGAGAGAGAGAGAGAGAGAGAGAGTAGAGAAAGGAGCGGACAGGTATAGAGAAAAGATGTAAGTCTTATATAGTGATGGTTAGGTCAGTGTCTGTATTAGTCTGTATTTAATAGTGCAGTGTTTGCGTCACACTTGAGGCCGAGAGCAGAGGTATGTCGAGAATAATTATGGCTATAATTATGAAAAATTAACGAAATAAAAAGTTTCGTATTGAGCGCTGTCTGAGCCATAAGAGGGTAGGGATGAAGGGATGCGCGGGTCGTATGCGTCCCAAACATACCTGTGCTCTGTTTGGCGCCAAATATAATATCAATATATAATCGTCACAACAATTAAGAGTTTTTTGCGTTATTTTGAAATTTCGTGCAAACCGTCGGCCAATACGACGGCTTCTTCGCCGCCAATGCATTACAATATATATGAAAACCTGTTTTAGGACTTTTGAAAAGAGATGCCAGAGAATGCATGCCTGCCCTCCTGTCCCTCTCCCCGTCCCCCTCCCTCTCCCTATTGTAAAGTGCATTCTGTGTGTAATGTGTGTAGTGTTAGGTTTGGGCACAGAATTTGGTTCTGAAAACCGGTTGTTGTGCACGAAATTCCCATACTCTCCAGCGGAGGACCATTTTGCTGGTGACTCTCCTCTGCCAATGAGTTGTTGCCAAAAACTTGTTCCCAAACACCACACCAGTAGTCATCCAAAAACTATACACTCCTCTCCACTGCCAGTCGTTGTGTGCACTTTCACGGCACAGACCACAGCCTCTCTCTCCTTCTCTCTCACCGTTTCGTACGTTCACTACAAACGGCTCTCTCTCTCTCCACTTCACCAGAAAAAAAGTTGTGTAAAACTATTACTCCTCTCCTCTTGTAATGCTATGTATTTCTCTCTTTATGTATAGCTATTCATTGAATTCAATGCTATTCTCTCTCTCCCTATACCACTATCGCAAACGCTATGTATTTCTCAATGCATTCCCTGTTTAGTGTATTATAGAGTTTGGAGATCCGAGATATGAATGCATTTATGAGCGCATAACTCGTAAAGGCTTTGGCTTTTGATTAGCATTTCATACATGCCTTCAGTGCTGGACCAGAGAGGGTGAGAGAGAGAGAGAGAGAGAGACCTCGACTTCAGTACCCATTCCTCCATTCCCTTCACCACAACCTCTGCTATACTTCTACTGCCAGTGCTTTGGAGTGAGAGATAGTGAGTGTTTGAGACGAATGTGTGCCTCAAGTTTTAGTACCACTTTTATCATGAAATATAGCCTACATTTTCAGTCTCTCTCTTATATTTCAAAGCCATAACTCTGTTATAGTTTTCGTATTCATTCACTTTATAACGACAACCTGTTGTGTAATACCAACTGATCACTGATTTTGATCTCAAATGTTGAACTGTTTGTACAGAAAATATATATAATATTATATATATTTATATTATATTTGTATTTCATTTTTCTCACTACCATTTCCTTCATTTATTTTGATAACTATTTCACAAATTTTATGTTTGATTTGTTTTTTGTTGCAAAAATACACCACAAGTGTGTTGTCATGTATTTGTTGCATACATTGTAATGGTTTTGCGATCGTTGGCCACAAAACGTGTTTCAATTCATACATACAGTCGATGTCTGTATTGTATAAACTAATCGGCGATTAAGTGTTGGTCTCATAACAGCGGCTATTGATTTGTGCGGCACTTGTATTGGCGTTCAACTGATCCCTAAATACCACTCAATACACACTATCATCAGATGATTGTCTCAACTTTGGATGATTGTGCCTCTAGTCCTGTTATACAAGACATTCATGACTAGATCCACACTCATCCATGGCTACAATCACCTCATCCACTGTCACTACCAGTCCATACAGTATTGCATAGTGTGTCAGCTCTACCTCTGGTCCTCTGTTTTGTTTCGATAGTTGTCTCCAGTATTTCATATCCATATTATTTGTGTGTCTTTCAAATGACATACTTTTTGCGTTCATTTCTCTGTATTTGTATAATTTCTTCAATAAAATATGCCTTCAATTCCTATCCCTATCACTATTTTAACGCTTACTCTATATTTCAATAGCAATAGCCATGTATTGCAAAACCAGTGTCCGCTCTACACCTCACAGCCGACTCCCTTTTGCCGAGCGATTCACTTCTCTGCACAACACCTTATTGTGTACTCTCGATGCAGATCACGAATCCGTAGGTCTTTGAGACTTACAGTCATTGTGTCTATCATTTGGAAGAATATGTTGGGAATCGTCCCATAAATACCTATTACTCTATAGTGTATTCACTTTTCAAATGTTCTCTAATTATCTTTCGAAAGGTTATTATTTTATATCCATTTTCTCATATAATTTTGCGAATATTTTTCCTCGCATTTGAAATTTGTTTGAATAATAAGTAAAGGGTTTTGAGAATCAAAGAGAGAGAGAGAGAGAGAGAAATGTGGCGAAAGTAGTCGAGACCTATGTTTAAGACAAGTTCTCTGAGTATAACGTCTTAAATAATAATTTGAAAATATTTTTCAATAAAAAACTTTGTGAGAGACGAGAGAAAAGGTATTACAGACTAAAGACTTGTGTTTAGTATTTGTGCAGAGATTGAGTGCAAAACCAGTTTTTGAGGATTCGTTTTGTTAGTCTCTGTGCGCTCTGAGAGCCGATTGTTTCATCAGATTCGACACATAACAGGCCTGTCCTGTAGTCCTGTACTCGTAATGTAGGTGTGAATACATTTTGAAGAGAGAGTAGACTTAGAAATGATCACTATTTCAAGGATAGCTCCAAAGGTTAACAGCATTTCTACCCCTCATAACCATTGTATCCATCTTTCAATCCAATCACTGGTCACTCAAAACGATTCTCAACTTTATATGAAAACTCAAAACACATTTGTGTCGAAAGAACACAATTAAAGTTCTGAATAAATATTTTTTGATTCATTAATTTT